AAGTCAAGCTTGGCCTCGGGCCGGGCTTGGGGAGTAGAAGAACTCCCAGAACCCCATCAACCAGGTAACAAACGCTACTCATGGTTAGCATTACAAAAACACAGAGATTTACAAAGTAATCACTAATCAGATCTGTAATTTGTAACGAAATATAATTGTTGTTACCGGGATTATAATTAATAGTAATGGTAAGTGAATAAAGTGTTCACTAAGGCCTGATCGAGGACCTTAGTGAGACAAGGGGTCTCATCTCGGTGCGCTAAGCCCCGAAACCATCTCAAGATAACCTCAAGATTGCCCAAAATATGCTAAAAAATAAGGGACAATTAACTTAATTAAAATCTGCGATGTAATATCATCTCGAGCCTTCAAGTGAACAACCTTGTCTGTGTCTTATTTTATTATTATTATTATTCTTTTATTTAATAACAACAATGAGAAAATTTTATTATTTTTATCATTATTATTATTATTATTATTCACTGCCCTTAAATGGCGTATACAATCATTTTTATTTCTGTGTTAAAGTTAGTTTAGTTCACTTATTATGCACCCCATACCCATCTTGTGGGCGGTAGTGGCAAGGGTTACAGAGGCACATAATGGGCTCAGGGACTGAACCCCACAATTCATTTAGCTAAGCAAGTTACAATCTTGATGAGCTAGTTACAAAATTCAGTATAAGTCGTCACATCAACAATGGGTTCGAGATCGACTACAAGTACAGTTTCTAAATTAAGCAACTGACATATGTGGAGAGCTAGTGTCACAATTTGTCCAAATCAATTTGGACAAATTCACACCAAATCAATTTGGTGTGTTTGTCCTGCACACCGCCCCCCATCCAGTGGGCAGCGGTGGATAGGTTACAATCACTTTGTTACTACCTACAGTTAGCAAACTGGGGATATTTAGCTAAAATTTCTGGTAGCAGATCATTTTGAATGAAATATTGACACATCGTTGGAACATTGGTTTTAGAATTGTCTCTGAATTCAGGTATCTTTCCACACTCCATCACATAGTGACGGAGGGTGTGCGAATAATTTTGTTGACACAGTATTAAAGAAACCTGTTTTATGGTTTGTCTTATGTGGGAAAGAACGAAATAAATATGTATTTTCTGTGCCTTGGCGAGGAGTGACGTCAGAGGGGTGCCAGAGGGTGCCATTTACGTGTCCGGACACACGATTTTTAACCACCAAACAGAGGCACTTGTTAGGCCCAGGGGCGAGATTCACGAAACAGTTACGCAAGCACTTACGAACCTGTACATCTTTTCTCTGTATTTGGAGGCTTTGTTTACAATTATTAAACAGTTAATGAGCTCCGAAGCACCAGGAGGCTGTTTGTAACAATAACAACAGTTGATTGGCAAGTTTTCACGCTTGTAAACTGTTTAATAAATATAACCAAGGCCGTCAAAGATTGAGGAAAGATGTACACGTTCGTAAATACTTGCGTAACTGCTTCGTGACTCTGGCCCCAGTTTTTTATCAGGTTTTATCGTGGTTTCTGTGTGATATCTGAATGTCTTACAATACTGATGAGGAAGGCTACGTCGTTGGTGGTCTTTCATTATATTGTATATTATCCATACACCTCTCAATTATGCCCACATCTACACCCAAACCACCACCACCATCAACACCCCCCAAACCACCTACCTACTATCCCCCCTCCTACACCTCTACATCCACCTACCCACTTCCCCCCTACCTGCCCACTCGCATCATCACACCCCCTCCCTCTCCCAGCACTCTCCCACACAAACACTCCACCCACTTATTCTCCCCTTCCGAATATATGCCCATTTGGCTCTATGTGCAGGGAGAGAGACTGGGGAGGTATGTGCATGTCAGTGGTGTTTCATAACGCTGTTTGTGTTGCGAGGTATGCTCCAGGTATGCTGCAGGTATGCTCTAGGTATACCTGGCTCAGGGACCCGTCAAGCCCTTCCTAGATCGGCTGTCATCTGGGGAAGGTTCCGGGAGTTCTTCTACTCCCCCGAGCCCGGCCTGAGGCCAGACTTATCGAAAGATATATAAACAAACTGAGGTTGTGTGTGAGTGTGAGTGTGAGTGTGTACTCACCTAATTGTGCCTGCGGGGGGTTGAGCTCTGGCTCTTTGGTCCCGCCTCTCAACCGTCAATCAACAGGTGTACAGGTTCCTGACACACACATTTATACATCCCCTTGTGTGAAATAGTATACACATTTTCAAGAGTGTGTGTGTGTGTGTGTGTGTGTGTGTGTGTGTGAGTGTGTGTGTGTGTGAGTGTGTGTGTGTGTGTGTGTGTGTGTGTGTGTGTGTGTGTGTGTGTGTGTGTGTGTGATTAGAGGTCACCTCCACTGTCTGCGTGACGTAGGAAGCATCACAAGGAAGTGTCGGTAAGACTTTGGCTTCACCTTTTCTCTTATTAAATCAAATCTCTCTCTCTCTAGACATGTGCCTTTTCACCCGTCCATTAGCCTACACCGACACCGGTTTATATAACACGGCTCCGCCTGGATTTTGGGCATGTGTTGTCACATCACTATACCCCATATAACACCTGTGCTCCAGCAGTGCCTGCAGTGAACACCATCCCACAACACCTGCTGTGTGCTCTGGTCTTATTCCCACAGAGTTGACCTTACGGTAATCTCCCATTCGTTATCTTAGAAACTCTAAATTTCAAAACCGATATTCAAATTTGAACTAATATTATCACAAGTGTGCATTCTGTATCTTTACAATGATAGTAATTTTTATTATTATTATTATTATTATTATTACTAGTAAATATGCTATTCAGTGCAGGAATTGTTAATAATAGCAGTCTAGGTCTATTGGGAGAATATATATTTTTTACTGTCATATATTGGTCTTTATTGCATCAGGATTTGGGACGGGCCTGGTGACGGGGTGGGGGACGAGGAATGGTGCCCAATCACCTGGGCTGGACGGTAGAGCGACGGTCTCCCTTCATGCAGATCGGCGTTCAATCCCGCTAATCCGAGCGGGATTGAATCCGAGCCGCTACCATTTTCTAGTACGGCGATTTTTGGCCTTAGGTAAAGTGTGTACGTCAAAATGCGACGTTCTATTAGGAGGACGGATTGGTTGTCAGCCGCCTTGAAGATGGGTGGGGGGGGGGGGGTTTGGGTGGTTGGGTGGGGGGGGGTGACCAGGCAACGGGAAAGGTTGTAAGCAATTGTTGATCTAGCAACGTTTCGTGCTGCGTGGCCCTTAACTTCCTCCTGAATCATCTCTATCATAATTTCTCAGTGCTACACCCACAGGTAAACCTGCTACAAGTAAATTCAGGGGAGAATTTTCCACCCTTCTCCACTTTTCTCTGGTCATGGTCACGGCATCACGGTATCCTTTATATACGTCCCGTCCGGCCTTGCTGCCAAGGTCTTGGTGAATGGAGATGTTTGCAGGAGAGAGATGCAACCTTCATGCTCATCTGGCTCCCAGGGGTGTGTGTGGCGCAGGAGGCTGCGTGCAGGGCTGCTTCACCTTGTGGGGGTCTGTTCGTTCCTGCGTGTAGTTCACTGCTGGGGTGTGTTAGGGTACCTGCCTGATACCTGCCTGATACTTTCCTGATACCTGCTTGATATCTGTTACACATTTTCAAGAGAAAACTAGATCATTTTCTCCAAGGAGTGCCGGACCAACCAGGCAGTGGTGGGTATGTGGGCCTGCGGGCAGCTTTAAGCAACAGCCTGTTGGACCAAACTCTCACAAGTCAAGTCTGGCCTCGGGCTAGGCTTGGGGAGTAAAATAACTCCCAGAACCCCATCAAGCAGGTATCAAGCAGATGCCTGCTTGATGGGGTTCTGGGAGTTCTTCTACTCCCCAAGCCCGGCCCGAGCCCTTGATACCTGGTTGATGGGGTTCTGGGAGTTCTTCTACTCCCCAAGCCCGGCCCGAGCCCTTGATACCTGGTTGATGGGGTTCTGGGAGTTCTTCTACTCCCCAAGCCCGGCCCGAGGCCAGGCTTGACTGGAAGGAAGTTTTGACCAATATATAATTCCTTTCAAAATAAATTATTGTTATTGAAGTTTTGTGTATAAATGTGTTTGATTTACACTGCTGTACACTGTTCAGTCCAGCCGGAATTGTAACAATTTGTATAAGTTGTTATGAATAACTTCTAATTAGCTAGTGGACATTTTTTTGCTTGCTTCTATGTGAAATATAAGGTTGTGAGGGGTAATAATTACAAGGCGGGCTAGCTTAATCTAGAGGTATGAACGCCGACTGTGCAACATCCCCGTCCCCTTGACACGGGCACTGTCATTCTGTCGTGGTGCTGAGATTGCACAGGTGATGCTGGCGGTGGTTACAGGAACCTGCAATGTATGCAGGCCTTTCAACACTGAAAACACAGCATTGAGCGAGGCTCCAGATGGCTTCGTACCCAACCACCCGACACCCCTACACCCACCCCTACACCCACCCAACCTCTACCCCCACACACCCACCCTACCTCTACCCCCACACACCCTCCCCTACACCCTCCCCTACACCCTCCCCTACACCCTCCCCTACACCCACCCCACCTCTACCCCCACACACCCACCCTACCTCTACCCCCACACACCCTCCCCTACACCCACCCCACACACCCACACCCTCACCACCACCCCGGAGGTGTGCCGCGGGCAGGTGTGGCTCCCGTGTCACATGTAGGCAAGACTGTGATTCTCCACACGCCTCGGCCTTGCATTATGTCTCCAGCGTGTGCCTGGTCGTGTTGGCTGATGTCGTGGACCCCTTGTGTGTCTTGTCGTGGACCCCTTGTGTCTCTTGTCGTGGACCCCTTGTGTGTCTTGTCGTGGACCCCTTGTGTCTCTTGTCGTGGACCCCTTGTGTCTCTTGTCGTGGAACCCTTGTGTCTCTTGTCGTGGACCCCTTGTGTCTCTTGTCGTGGACCCCGTGTGTCTCTTGTCGTGGACCCCTTGTGTCTCTTGTCGTGGACCCCGTGTGTCTCTTGTCGTGGACCCCCTCATCTCTTGTCGTGGACCCCTTGTGTCTCTTGTCGTGGACCCCTTGTGTCTCTTGTCGTGGAACCCTTGTGTCTCTTGTCGTGGACCCCTTGTGTCTCTTGTCGTGGACCCCGTGTGTCTCTTGTCGTGGACCCCTTGTGTCTCTTGTCGTGGACCCCTCGTCTCTTGTCGTGGACCCCTTGTGTCTCTTGTCGTGGACCCCTTGTGTCTCTTGTCGTGGACCCCTTGTGTCTCTTGTCGTGGACCCCGTGTGTCTCTTGTCGTGGACCCCTTGTGTCTCTTGTCGTGGACCCCTCGTCTCTTGTCGTGGACCCCTTGTGTCTCTTGTCGTGGACCCCTTGTGTCTCTTGTCGTGGAACCCTTGTGTCTCTTGTCGTGGACCCCGTGTGTCTCTTGTCGTGGACCCCTTGTGTCTCTTGTCGTGGACCCCTTGTGTCTCTTGTCGTGGACCCCTTGTGTCTCTTGTCGTGGACCCCTTGTGTCTCTTGTCGTGGACCCCTTGTGTCTCTTGTCGTGGACCCCTTGTGTCTCTTGTCGTGGACCCCTTGTGTCTCTTGTCGTGGACCCCTTGTGTCTCTTGTCGTGGACCCCTTGTGTGTCTTGTCGTGGACCTCTCGTGTCTTGTCGTGGACCCCTTGTGTCTCTTGTCGTGGACCCCTTGTGTCTCTTGTCGTGGACCCCTTGTGTCTCTTGTCGTGGACCCCCTCATCTCTTGTCGTGGACCCCTCATCTCTTGTCGTGGACCCCCTCATCTCTTGTCGTGGACCCCTCATCACTTGTCGTGGACCCCTCATCTCTTGTTGTGGACCCCTCATCTCTTGTTGTGGACCCCTCATCACTTGTCGTGGACCCCTCATCACTTGTCGTGGACCCCTCATCTCTTGTCGTGGACCCCTTGTCTCTTGTCGTGGACCCCTCGGCTATTTTATTTAAGACTTTACCCACTGCGATGAGTTTTATTGGGCAGCGTGATTCATCCTGTGAGTGAACACAGCGCCATAGGAACAATCAGAGAACACTGTATGAACATAAGAGGTCTCCGGTTGTTCAATATTCTCCCAACAAGTATAAGAAATGTTGCTGTCACAAAAGTGAAAGTCTTCAAGAAAAAATGGATAGTTTTCTGCAAGAAATGCCGGACAGACCAGGCCGTGGTGGATATGTGGGCCTGCGGGCCGCTGCAAGCAACAGCCTGGTGGACCAGGGTATCACAAGCCTGGCTCCCTGGCCGGGCTTGGGGAGTAGAAGAACTCCCAGAACCCCATCCAGGTAAGGTCCAGGTCCAGCGTCACTCGTCTAGAGAGTGAACATACCGTACCGTATATATACCGTACCGTATATATACCGTACCGTATATATACCGTACCGTATATATACCGTACCGTATATATACCGTACCGTATATATACCGTACCGTATATATACCGTACCGTTCGAACATACCGAACATATATGCTACTTTGCCGTCAAAGTAGCATATATAAATACAGCAAGCGCCCCGCAGTGGGTTGGAATCCCGCTGGGGTTCATCCTGTCACTAGCACCCGCACGCCGCGGGCACCCACTTACGTGTGTCAAGTGAACAAGGGAATTAACATTTGCCACTCATCAGGCTCGTGTTATTCTACGGGTGGAAAGTGTGGTTGTCTCTTGTGGAGCAACAGTGCTTCTATAGCTAGCCGCAAACATTGTGAGATTGGTTATACTGAATGTGCTTTTAATTACTCTAGGTGATCTAGACTTTTTGTGCTGGAGACTCTGCATCTCCTCTGCTCGGCTGTCTTTCTATACCTGCTACACACCTGCTTGATGGGGTTCTGGGAGTTCTTCTACTCCCCAAGTCCGGCCCGAGGCCAGGCTTGACTTGTGAGAGCTTGGTCCACCAGGCTGTTGCTTGGAGCGGCCCGCAGGGCCACATATCCACCACAGCCCGGTTGGTCCGGCACTTCTTGAAGAAAACTATCTAGTTTTCTCTTGATCTCGAAACTCCATGTTACATGTAGTCAAGGTGAATTCTTGGTAGATATTCTCTCATTCAAATACCTCCATGTCGTCCATAATGACTGAGGTAGTCGGCTTAAATTGCATCGTATCCGCATACAGATTCACTCATGCTCCAAAGGATACCTGATCAACCTGGCTGTGATTCATACGTCAGGCAGCGAGCAGCCGCGTCCAACAGCCTGGTTGACCAGTCCAGCAACCAGGAGGCCTGGTCGAGGACCGGGCCGTGGGGTCGCTAAGCCCCGAAATCATCGCAAGGTAACCCGCAAGGTAAGGTATGCTCCTATATTAAATGAACAAATCCACAACGGCCGTGATGAGGATTCGAACCTACGTCCGAGAGCATTCCAGACGCTGCCTGGGATGTAACGTTCTGGAGTGAACGATATGGAAGAAAATGCAAGATTGAACCAGTGAAGAGCAGAGGTGCCATAGGCACAATCAGAGAACACTGTATAAACATCAGAGGTCCGCGGTTGTTCAATGTCCTCCCAGCAAGCATAAGAAATATTGCCGGAACAACCGTGGACATCTTCAACAGAAAACTGGACTGTTTTCTAAGAGAAGTTCCGGATCAGCCGGGCTGTGGTGGGTATGTGGGCCTGCGGGCCGCTCCAAGCAACAGCCTGGTGGACCAGACTCTCACAAGTCGAGCCTGGCCTCGGGCCGGACTTGAGGAGTAGAAGAACTCCCAGAACCCCATCAAGCAGGTATCAACCAGGTAAGCCTTAATCGACTGAGCTACGACATAGTAAAAGAATTGGAATTCTTTTACCATGTCGTAGCGCAGTCGATTATAGCAGCGTCTGGGATGCTCTCTGACGCAGGTTAGAATCCTCGTCACAGCCCTTGTGGATTTGTTCATTTGATACATCACGCTATTGTGATTTATGTGTGTATAATGCTCCTATATTCTCCTATGATTAGTTAGTTTGTCTGATGATGCCTCTAGCATGGAGAAGAGTTTTGGGTCTGAGATATGCTGGTGGACCAAACTCTCACAAGTCAAGCCTGGCCTCGGGCCGGGCTTCTACTCCCCAAGCCCGGCCCGAGGCTAGGCTCGACTTGTGAGAGTTTGGTCCACCAGCAACAGCCTGGTGGACCAAAGCAGATATATAGGTATCAAGCAGATATTCACTGTTACCTCCAGCGTCCTTGGATGCCAGTGTTCGTCCATTTCCTCAGATTTGAACATGAAGGAATGCACAACACGTGGACCGACTTCCCTGATCAATCAGCGGTTCGCAGCTCTCTTGATTTCAACGAATTTTCTAAGACTTCGTAGTGGAGTTTTGCTTTAGTGTAGGTCACTGCTCCCCTTAAGGTATCCTCATGGCGTAACGGTGACAGGGAAAAGGGTTCGGATCCCATTCCGTGCGTTTTATTCATTTTCGTGTTGAAAGACATTATTCCTAATTACAGTGTTCGCTGCGCCAGCCCTGTCATTAGTGAGGTTAGCAGAGCCACCTGTGTAGATTTGATCTAATTAATTACCTGCCTCTATTAATTTCTCAAGATACATAAGATTAATTTTTTTTTGACGATTAGTTTGGTATTGAGTTTACTGCTCTCTTGTCGTGGACCCTCTACAGTCTTGTCGTGGACCCCTAACACACACTTGCCGTGGACCCCTACACACACTTGCCGTGGACCCCTACACACACTTGCCGTGGACCCCTACACACACTTGCCGTGGACCCCTACACACACTTGTCGTGGACCCCTACACACACTTGTCGTGGACCCCTACACACACTTGTCGTGGACCCCTACACACACTTGTCGTGGACCCCTACACACACTTGTCGTGGACCCCTACACACACTTGTCGTGGACCCCTACACACACTTGTCGTGGACCCCTATACACACTTGTCGTGGACCCCTATACACACTTGTCGTGGACCCCTACACACACTTGTCGTGGACCCCTACACACACTTGTCGTGGACCCCTACACACACTTGTCGTGGACCCCTACACACACTTGTCGTGGACCCTCTACAGTCTTGTCGTGGACCCCTACACACACTTGCCGTGGACCCCTACACACACTTGTCGTGGACCCCTATACACACTTGTCGTGGACCCCTAACACACACTTGTCGTGGACCCCTACACACACTTGTCGTGGACCCCTACACACACTTGTCGTGGACCCCTACACACACTTGTCGTGGACCCTCTACAGTCTTGTCGTGGACCCCTACACACACTTGCCGTGGACCCCTACACACACTTGTCGTGGACCCCTACACACACTTGTCGTGGACCCCTACACACACTTGTCGTGGACCCCTACACACACTTGTCGTGGACCCCTACACACACTTGTCGTGGACCCTCTACACACACTTGTCGTGGACCCCTACACACACTTGTCGTGGACCCCTACACACACTTGTCGTGGACCCTCTACAGTCTTGTCGTGGACCCCTACACACACTTGTCGTGGACCCCTACACACACTTGCCGTGGACCCCTACACACACTTGTCGTGGACCCCTACACACACTTGTCGTGGACCCCTACACACACTTGTCGTGGACCCCTACACACACTTGTCGTGGACCCCTACACACACTTGTCGTGGACCCCTACACACACTTGTCGTGGACCCCTACACACACTTGTCGTGGACCCCTACACACACTTGTCGTGGACCCCTACACACACTTGTCGTGGACCCCTACACACACTTGTCGTGGACCCCTACACACACTTGTCGTGGACCCCTACACACACTTGTCGTGGACCCCTACACACACTTGTCGTGGACCCCTACACACACTTGTCGTGGACCCCTACACACACACTTGTCGTGGACCCCTACACACACTTGTCGTGGACCCCTACACACACTTGTCGTGGACCCCTACACACACTTGTCGTGGACCCCTACACACACACTTGTCGTGGACCCCTACACACACTTGTCGTGGACCCCTACACACACTTGTCGTGGACCCCTACACACACTTGTCGTGGACCCCTACACACACTTGTCGTGGACCCCTACACACACTTGTCGTGGACCCCTACACACACTTGTCGTGGACCCCTACACACACACTTGTCGTGGACCCCTACACACACACTTGTCGTGGACCCCTACACACACTTGTCGTGGACCCCTACACACACACTTGTATATTTTTCCTATAACTTTAATTAACTCTTTAACAAACATTTTCTCATTACAGGTAAAGGTGACTGTTGTTGTTAGCACGCGCCCGTAAAGACTGCTCCATGCTGTAAGTTACAATATATTCTACCTGGTTTTACCTGGAATTATAATTCCTTAAATGTAATTAATTTTCAAATGATGAAATTGTGCTTAGGCACTGTAAGTTGTAAGTGGCACTGTAGCTTCCTGGGAGTGCCAGTGGACGATACCCGGCACCAGTATACTATTACCTCGGTGGCCTCTGGCCCTCTGGAGGTGGCACCCGGCCCTCTGGAGGTGGCACCCGGCCCTCTGGAGGTGGCACCCGGCCCTCTGGAGGTGGCACCCGGCCCTCTGGAGGTGGCACCCGGCCCTCTGAAGGTGGCACCCGGCCCTCTGGAGGTGGCACCCGGCCCTCTGGAGGTGGCACCCGGCCCTCTGGAGGTGGCACCCGGCCCTCTGGAGGTGGCACCCGGTCCACCTAACATATCGAGGCACAGAAGAGAGTTGTCAGAGATTACTGTAAGGTTGGAACAGCTAGGCTAGGGCAGGTGTGCAGGGGGCCGCTGCTAGGTGCAGCTAGGCTAGGGCAGGTGTGCAGGGGGCCGCTGCTGGGAGCAGCTAGGCTAGGGCAGGTGTGCAGGGCACGCACAGAGGTTATCAACAA